GTATATAGGCTGGGCGTGGTGGTTCATACCTGTGATCCCAGCAGTTTAGGACGCCAAAGTGGGCGGATCACGAGGTCCAGAGATGGAGACCATCCTGGTCAACATGGTGAAACCCCATCTCTACTAAAAATACAAAAAATTAGCCAGGCATGGTGGTGCAGGCCTAAAGTCCAAGCTACTCAGGAGGCTGAAGCAGGAGAATTGCTTGAACCTGGGAGGTAGCAGTTTCAGTGAGCTGAGGTGGCACCACTGCACTCCAGCCTGGCAACAGAGTGAGACTTCGTCTCAAAAAAAAAAGAGGAAAAAAAAGAAAATGTGGTGTGTATATATATACTATGGACTAGTCAGTCATAAAAAAAAGAATGAAATAATGGCATTCCCAGCAACTTGGATGGAGTTGGGGACTATTATTCTAAGTGAAGTAACTCAGAAATGGAAAACCAAACATTATATATTCTCATTTAGAAGTAGGAGCTAAGCTATGAGGACACAAAGGCATAAGAATTACATAATGGACTCTGGGGACTCGGGGGAAGGGTAGGGGGGAGGCAAGGGATAAAAGACTATACACTGGGTGCAGTGTACACTGCTCAGATGATGGGCGCACCAAAATCTCAGAAATCACTGCTAAGAACTAATCCATGTAACAATGCACCACCTGTTTCTCCAAAACTATTAAAATTAAAAAAAAAAAAAAAAAAAAAAACGGTTTACCAGGATGCTTATGAAAGCATAATTTATATTAGTAGAATATTGAAGGCTGGGTGCTGTGGCTCACACCTGTAATCCCAGCTACCCAAGAGGTAGAGGCAGGAGAATCACTTGAACCCAGAAGGTGGAGGTTGCAGTGAGCCAAGATTGGGCCACTGCACTCCAGCCTGGGTGACAGGGCAAGACTCTGCCTCAGAAAAAAATATATATGTATATATGTATATATATATAGAAAAAGCCAGATGCAGTGGTGCACACTTTTAGTCCCAGTTACTTGGGAGGCTGAGGTAGGAGGATCGCTTGAGTTCAGGAGCTGATGGCAAGTCTAAACAACAGAGCAAGACCTCGTCTCTTAAAAAAAGAAAAAAAAGTTGTAAAGAATCCCAAAACACAATAGGTAAATAGTCAAGCAAACTGTGGTATAATGCAGATATACCTATTGTGTTTTGGCATTCTTACCTTAACCATGTAAAATTATGCCTATATAGAAACGTTTAAATTACAGTAATGAAAGAAAGGCAGAACTTATGTAAAAATATCACAGTTGGTTAAATATATATAATAAATAAGAAAATTAGTAGTTTTGTAAACTTAGACTTTAATCATTTTTAAAAACTAATTACATTCTTAATTTCTTATAATCCAATGATATTTATCTCATTACTCCCAAAGCTATTGCTTGATCATTACAAAAAACATCTGAAGGGTTTTAGCATTAAAGTGGGTGGGGGGGAGGAACATCTGAAAATACATTCAACTTACTGGTCTGTTTTCCTCGTTTTGCAAAGAAGAAAACTGAACTTGAGGCAATGTTATCTCTTTAATTTCATCGCTGTCTCTTAATCTATAGAGTTTGTTCCATAATTTAAATTCTTCTTCTGATAAGAACCAATCTTTCTTTAGGTTACTTTGCCTTGTTCCTGTAAGTTGAAAAAATAATGGAAAAGAGATTTTTAAAAAATCTGCAAGGCAAAAAAATCCACAATATCAATTCAAACTCTGTCACCCAGACTGGAGTGCAGCGGTGCATTCAGAACTCACTGTAACCTCGAAATTCTGGGTTCAAGCAATCCTTCTGCCTCACCCTCCACAGTAGCTGGAATACACTCATGCCACCAAGCCTATCTAATTGTCTTATTTTTTGTAGATACCAAGTCTTGCTATGTTGCCCTGATTCGGCTCAAACTCATGGGCTCAAGTGATTCCCACCTCAGCCTTGATTCTATTTCTTAAAACTAGTATTCTTCATATACAACCAATTAGTTTATCAATTCTTCATATAAAACCAAGTTAGTTTATCAATTCCTGCTTCTAAATGTCTCCTAAACTTCTCTCACCTCTCTGAATGTACGTATTTGTCTAGAAGCTAACCTTTGGTAATGAATTAATTAACAGAACAGAGCCAGGTAGCTATTGGAAAATTCATCTGAAGCTTAGTAGGGGTGTTGACAGTGGGCAGGAAAGGCCAAGACTTTTAAAAAGGGTATGTATCTTAAGTCTTAAATGGGGGTTGGGGGCAAAAGGAGTAAAGGGTTGGGGGAATAGACTTGTTGCTTTTAAAAAAGGACATAATAATAGACTTTTTAAAATATGTATAATACATTAATTCTTTTCAGCTTCTTTAATCCCTAACAATCACCAAACTGAAAAGGCTAAACAGTACAAAGCAAGAACTCTGATTAATACATATAAGAGCAGAAAAATTATGAAGCTACTGAATTAAAAATCAGAAAACTGGCTGGGTACAGTGGCTCACACCCCATCTGTGGGAGGCCGAGCAGAAAGGATCAGTTGAGGTCCGGAGTTTGAGAACAGCCTGGGCAACACATCAAGACCCCAAGTTAAAAATAAAATAAAATTAGCTGGGCATGGTGTTGCATTCCTGTCATCCTAGCTGCAGAGGAGGCTGAGGCAGGAGGATCTCTTAAGTCCAGGAGTTGAGGCTTCAGTGAGCTAGGATCATTCATGCCTAAAATATAGTGTAAGAAGCTTTTTTAAAATGTTTAAAAAAAAATGGCTTCTTTGCATGTGTTTCCTCTTCTGTAAAATAAGTGGGTTTGAACTAAATGATCTCTCAGGCCTCTTTCAGACCTGACATGTAGAGGCTCGAATATTTTGAAATAGCCAGGTACCCCTAGTCCTTTAAAATAAATTCAGAGTTGCTGGGTGCAGTGGCTCACACTTGTAATCCCAGCACTTTGGGAGGCCGAGGTAGGTAGATCATCTGAGGTCAGAAGTTCCAGAGTAGCCTGGCCAACATGGAGAAACTCTGTCTCTACTACAGATATAAAAATGAGCCAGGTGTGGTGGCACACGCCTGTAATCCCAGCTACTCGTGAGGCTGAGGCAGGATAATTGCTTGAACCTGAGAGGTGGAGGCAGCAGTGAGCCAAGATAGTGCCACTGCACTCCAGCCTGGGCAACAGCATGAGACTCTGTCTGAAATGAAATATGAAATGAAATAAATTCAGAGCTTTAAGCTCAAATGAATTACATATTAGTGTATATAATATGTACTATGTATATACACTAGTATATAATTTATATACACTAGCAAATACATAGTATATAAACTAGTATATATTTTATAGATTAGTATAAATATACTAGTATGTTGATATACCCTTATAGAATTATAGAATAATTCCATACATAAATCACATAATCTTAGCAAGATAAATCTTTGACACTTGAAAATCAAAGAAAATGGAAGGAAACAAGTATAGAAAAATGAACGTAAGTTTATATTATCCCAATTTCTTAAAAGGACAGGTTCTAGATATTCCATAAAGAATTTGCTATCCACCCAAGTAATATTTTAGAAATAACTGTTAAACATAAGATTAATTAGCAACTATAAAAAATATAATGATCACTAAAAATGATTTACCCAACCTAATCAAGTTTTGATGCTTTTATTAATTTATCAAATTCAAGAAAACTAAAAAGACATGCTATGTTTTTATTTTAAGCAAATAACTGGCAAAATCTTGAAAAATGACAGGTATGTTCCTATTAAGTGGATTTGTATTAGGTTTAATAGACATAGCCAAAAAAACACTGATTGACAGCTCTGAGTTAAGGGAAAGAACATGAGCAAATTTGAATCTAGAGCAAATAGTAGGAGGGTAAAGACTTCAAAAACGCATGGTATGCAAAGCAGTGGAACAAACAGTTGAACAAACCTGAAAGATATGGCCTTCAAATACATAAAGAACCGTTACAAAGGTAAACCAAAGATGAAAACTGTACTTTTTATCTACAAAACTAGATCAATGAGATAAAGGTACAAAGACACAGATTTTTCAACCTAAGAGTCTTCTACTATATAGGGTCATTCAGCAATGGAATGAACCCTCATAAAGAAATATAATTTATATTAACAGAGGTATTCAAGTTGAGGCTGGCTAAGTATTTAACAAGAATCCTGTAGATGCATTCCCACCTTGATAAATAATTGGACCACATGACTCCCAAGGTTCCTTCCAAAGGTTAAAATATGTGGTATCTAATTATTTAAAACCCGCATTCGAGATAAAGTAAAATCCAAAACATAAACTTTTTTTTCTCACTTTCATAGTGCAAATTATCTCAAGATACTTTCTTGGTATTATGTCTCTGCAGTTCTTAAGCCAGGAGTACTCTCTCTCTTTACTAACAATGCTTCTGGCACCAAAGTATTTGTTTTTCACTGTCTCAATATTTCCAATAATTTCATCTAACTTTACCATTATCTTGCATAGAAGTGAATTTTTTAAAAAAATTTTTTCTCCTTTGTGAAAAGGGAAAGAGACCCATGCCCCTCCCTTTCTAGGAGCATTTGTAGAGACACAAATGGCTTCTAAATCCTTTAGGCTGGGATGGTGGCTCACGCCTGTAATCCCAACACTTTGGGAGGCTGAGGCGGACAGATCATCTGAGGTCAGAAGTTTGAGACCAGTCTGGCCAACATGGTGAAACTCTGTCTCTACTAAAAATACAAAAATTAGCTAGGTGTGGTGGAACATGCCTGTGATCCCAGCTACTGGGGAGGCTGAGGCAGAGAATCCCTTGAACCCAGGAGGTGGAGGTTTGTAGTAAGCCGAGATCACACCACTGGACTCCAGCCTGAGCAACAGAGCAAGACTCTGTCTCAAAAAAATTTAAAAACCTTTCTTTAATCCTCTGATATCTATGTAAATCTGTGTAAAGACCAAGCAAGTCTCTATCCAACTTTCCAAACAAGAAATGTGTTTTTTTAAGTCTTTAGGGGTTATTTCTTTGAAATAAAAACACTAAGGAAGATAGTGTCCCTATATGCCATCATCATGAGTGTTTCGGCATTTCTCTAAGATCTATCAATTTCTGCTTGTTAAAGACATAAGAGAAGTTTTCGTTAATCCTTCAGATAAAGGCAACCAGCTAATGCAAATGGCTACCTCAATTGCCAGGTGAATATGTTATAAACTATGAAGGAATATATAGCAAATGGTGCCTTCTTATATGAGGACAAGTTACTATTAGTCTTGACAACATGTATGTAAAGGATTATAAGTGCTTGGGAGTACATAAAAGGAATTTCTTTCTGTCTTGGTATTATCTTAGCAGAATGTCTTCAGCACATACTGTAATCTGGTTTAATGCTTATTCAAAAATAAAACTGTTTTCTTTCTTTTCTAAACTTTATGGAGAACATTCTCTGGGTTGGTAGGATATTTTTAACACTGAGTTTCTGTCACTCTATACTACGAATGTCTCTCCATTTGCCACAGGAATAATCTCTTATAGCCTTTTCAAAGAGAATGCCTATAATATCCTAGAACATAGATTCAGTTTTACAAACAAGAAATATTATATCAATATATGATCTGCTAAGTAAGAACAGGGGAAAAATGCATGTGTCAAATGCGAAATTTATTTACCATCCTTAAAGGAAAAGATAGATGACTTTCGCTGCAAGTTCCGAGAAGGCTTCTCTGGTTCATAGACACCATGTGTGATGAACATTTTGTGTAATTTTGGGTTGATTCCATCAGGAACCATTCGTGGACTTCTTTGGTAAAAATGAAGGACCTGCCTGTTACTTGAAATAGCTTTATATATATTTCTTTTGTTGGACTGACTCTGATTATAAATCTGTAAAAACAAATATAAAATGTCAGATTATTTCTGTAAATAACAATTTATCCACAACAGGCAATTATTAATATGGATTTATTGTAAACATAAAATTGAACCCCGAGCTACTTAAATACTTAGAGAATAAAGCTTCTGGGCCAGACGAAGTGGCTCATGCCTGTAATCCTAGCACTTTGGAAGGCCGAGGCGGATGGGTCACAAGGCCAGGAGATCGAGACCACTCTGGCCAACATGGTGAAATCCTATCTCTACTAAAACTACAAAAATTAGCCAGGCGTGGTGGTGTGCGCCTTTAGTCCTGGATACTCAGGAGGCTGAGGCAGGAGAATCACTTGAACCCGGGAGGCGGAAGATCGTGCCACTGCACTTCAGCCTTTTTGCACTCCATCTCAAAAAATAAAAAAGGGAATAGAGCTTCTGTTCTCTTGATTTTTTTGTTGTTGTTTTTTTGCTTTTTTTTTTTGAGACAGAGTCTTATTCTGTCACCCAGGCTCTGGGGTGCAGTGGTGTGATCAAAGCTTACTGCAGACTCAACCTCCTGGGCTCAAGCAATCCTCCAACTTTAGCCTCCTGAGTAGCTGGGACTATAGGTGTGAGCTACCACACCCAGCTAATCTTTAAAATATTTTGTAGAGTTAGGCTGTCTGTTGCCCAGGCTGGTCCTGAACTCCAGGGCTCAAGTAATCCTTCAGCTTTAGGCTCCCAAAGTGCTGAAATTGCAGGTGTGAGTCATTGAGCCCAGCTGTCTTGAATTTTAAAACCTATCATCAGTAAACTGTTAGATTAATCTCCAATGAAAATCATTCCAAAGTCCATTATTATAAAATCCCACCCTAACAGTTATATTGCATAAAGTAAACCTATTCTTTGTTATCTTGCTGTTTTATAAAAAGGCTGATATTTACATAGAAGTGTATGGTTGTCCTGTGTTTTTTAAAAACTATTCCTTTATTTCAGTTTGTTCATCTCTCTATACTTCAGTTTCCTTCACTGTATACAACAAAAGCTTTACTCCCCTTACAGGGTGCTGACAGGATTACATAAGATACTGAATTTGAAACTTGGAACATTACACAGCGTAATGTAAATACTGAGTAAATGTGGCCACTGTTACTATTTTACAGTTAAGAAACCTAACATGTGAATGGAAAGGTTAAGTAACTTGGCTAGGGAATACAATTAGAACCCATTTCCACTCACTGATATTACATGGCCTTCTACAAGCTACCAAACATTTAATTAGGATCATTTCATGGATAAACTAGATGTTACATATGAATATGCTATAATCACATGAAAAGTATTAGAGAAATAATTCATTTTTCAAGATGATTTTAAAGAGTATTTAAAATATTTAAAATCAATTTTTTTTCTTCAGATGGAGTCTCTGTTACCCAGGCTAGAGTGCAGTGGCGGGATCTTGGCTCACTGCAACCTCCGCCTCCCAGGTTCAAGCCATTCTCCTGCCTCAGACTCCCATGTAGCTGAGATTACAGACACGCACTACCACATGTGGCTCATTTTTGTATTTCTTTAGTATAGACGGGGTTTCACCATGTTGGCCAGGCTGGTCTCAGACTACTGACCCTCAAGTGATCTGCCTGCCTTGGCCTCCTAAGATGATGGGATTACAGGCATGAGCCACCGCACCCAGCCTAAAATCAATTTTTGAAAACTATCATAGTTGTTAAGGCAATCTTTAATGTGATCCTGTATATTTGGCCACTGAACTTGTCTCAATGAGTCGCAAAAGTTAATTAATACCTTAGTATAACAAATACAAAATAATATTTTATATAACATCTTATTTAGAAAGGCCTGTCACTCAAGACTGTGGCAAAATATGAATATAATTCAAGTTACTTATCACTTAAAATAGGCATCAGCAAACTTCCATAAAGGGCCAGAAAGTAAATATTTTGGGTTTTGCAGGCTACATATTGTCTGATATATATTCCTTGTTTCTTAGTTATTTTGACATCCCTTGAAAAGGAAAAAACAATTTTCAGTTTACTATAGTTCAAAAATAAAAGTAAACTAAACACAAAGCATAGGCCTTCTTTAGAAGCACAGGGATATAGTAAAACAAAGTAATATATATTGGTTTCTGGATCTAGGTATCTCTGAATTACTACTTAAATATTAAATGTATTTCTTTAGATGGATAAAAATTAGGAAATTGAATCCAGTCAAAAATTTGCCTAGTTACAAGATAGAATCCAATACAAAGGGGAGAAAAATAAACCACAACTATCCAGAGTGTTTGGACTTGGAATGCTAAAATGTTGATATCCATCTTTGGGCTTTATTTCTCAAATTTCAAGTGACAAACTGTGTTTCTGCAGCTCTACTTACACGTTCCTCTCGTCCTTCAGAAAGGATAACAACTATCCTGCCTTGACGTTTTCGGCCAGTTCTACCCATTCGTTGTACAAGACGAATTGGGCTCTTCTGAGAATCAAAACATATTATAAGGTCAACTTCTCCTATATCCAAACCTTCTTCACCCACACAGGTAGAAACCAATGTGTTGTAACCACCATCACGAAACTGTTTCACTACCTAAAATAAAAATGATTGAAAAATAATTACATGCAAATATAAAACTGTAGATCAAAGCATACTGTTCCCCACTTACCTGAAAAATAGTGAAATCAGATTAAAATCACCTGAGGTTAGGAGTTGGAGACCAGCCTGGCCAACATGGTGAAACCCCATCTCTACTAAAACTACAAAAATTAGCCAGGCATGGGTGCCTGTAAACCTAGCTATCTGGAGGCTGAGGCAGGAGAATCACTTGAACCTGGGAGGCAGAAGTTGCAGTGAGCCATAATTGCACTGCTGGACTCCAGCCTGGCAACAGAGTAAGACTCCATCTCAAAAAAAAATAAAAGGGATACCTCATCTACTAATGTCTGCAGAATCAAAAAGGATCTGTCAAAATGAATTAGACATTAAAGACATATCTAATTGTCAGTCATTACTCTAGTATAGACTTATACAATTTATAAAAAGATGCAAAGATTTTATAAAAATCAATAATGTAAAATTTCCCTCAAAACATCACAGCACTTAGAAAACTTAATGTCCTCTTACTCAAAGCATGAGGCGATCTTAACTACTATCGTGGTTTCTTCTGATCACACTTTTAAAATAAGATTTTTAAATAAATAAAAAGATAAGCTCATTATTTATTTAGAAAAAATTATTAAAGGGACTTAACATAAACAGTAAAAATTTATTGACGGCTCTACAATAAGATCTCTTTTAATGCTTACAACAACCATATGATGTATGTTTACAGATAAGGAAAACTGAGGAACAAGAAGTAAAGAAACTTTTAAGTGGAAGAGTCAGGATTTCAACCCAGGTAGTATGATTCCAGAGCTTTTCTGCTTAATTTTACACTTTACATTACTCTAAAAACAAACAAAAAACGTTCCAAAACCCCGTAAAACATTTGTTATGGTCTTTCAAAATATGTTTATTTTTATTTACATGTTTACTATAAAATTATTTTTAAGTACCCAATTGACCAATGAGTTAAAACCAACAAAGAACAAGTGCAAAGCTAATCAATCTTATTTTTATTTTCATCAACTCTAAAAGTAATTACCTCCAATTGCTCCTTCTGGGTAAAACCCTTCGTGCTTTTCCCTGAAGCATGGCCAACAAAAGTCATTACTCTAATAGTTGGCTGATGCTGTGAAAGCATTTCTGCAATTTCTTGAACACTATCTCGAAATGAAGAGAAGATCATAACTCTGGTCTCATCACGTTTCTTTCCAGAAGTGTTTACAGCTGTAAATATAAAAACTTTAATTACAACTTTTTACAAAGCATTTAGACAAGAACTAGTTCAAAAGACAAACCTGAAAGTATTATGCTAATGAAGATAATTATTTTTAAAAAAATAATTTAGCTGTATGTGATAGCATACACTATAGTCCCAGCTTGGAAGGCTGAGATGGAGAAATCATGTGAGTCCAATTCAAGACCAGCCTGGGAAATATAGCAAGACCCAGTCTCTAATGCACAAACATATAAATAAATAATTTCAAACATCTTAAAATTTTGCTGATTTTTTTAAACTACACTTGCTATTAATTTTAATAATCTCAGCTTGTTATTTCTCATTTGCTGTCATACAATCCTAAGCAAATAAAATATGAATTACCTGAATCACTTTTGACTAGTTCTTTAATTCAGGCATAATGACTGTTATTTCCCTTTGCCTTCTAAGATAGCCAGAAGCACAGAACTATGTAGCTCCTCCTAATATCATAAATTGTCCCTTTCCTTTCTGTTCACTAAAGGCACTGTCTTAATCCAAGCCATGCATTCTGTCCCCAAATCTACAATACTTTCAAATTCTCCAAAGACAACTGCAGAATATACCCTACAGTCAATTCCAAAGCTGCTCTTGATATCTCTGTGCTGAGGGTAGCCGGTGGAGTATGGGGGTGGCAGGCAGTAGAATGTACTCATAAGAACATGATCTTTGTGACAGGGCACTTAATCCTCTGGGTGACTGGTGATCATGGTAGTTATTTAAGCTCTTTAAGGTTTAGTTTCTTCATATCTAATATGGATTGATGTATAAATGAAACAGTAAATATAAGGTATGTAGTTTTGCACACACAGTAATTGGTTAATTATTACATATTGTGTAGGGTTTCTGGTTATTTATTTATTTTTGAGACAGGGTCATGCTTGGTCACCAAGGCTGGAGTGCTGTGCCTCCATCATGGCTCACTACAGCTTCTACCTCTTGGGCTCAGGTGATCCTCCCACCTCAGGATCTGAGTAGCTGGAACTACAGGCACATGCCACCATGCCCAGCTACATTTTAAAATTTCTTTGTAGAGACGGGGTTTTGCCATGTTGCCCAGCCTGGTCTCAAACTCCTAGGCTCAAGAGATCTACCGGCCTCAGCCTCCCAAAGTGCTGGGATTACAGCCATGAGCCACCACATCCAGCCTCTAATGATTTTTATTATAGGAATCAATATATGTGTTCCAAGGACCACACTAAGCATTTTATATATGTTAACTCATTTAATCTTCACAACAACTCTAAGGAATAAATGACTTATGAAATGTAAAGTTAGGCTAGGCACAGTGGCTTACGCCTGTAATCCCAGCACTTTGGGAGGTCGAGGTGGGTGGATCACGAGGTCAAGAGATCGAGACCATCCTGGTCAACATGGTGAAACCCCGTCTCTACTAAAAACACAAAAAATGAGCTGGGCATGGTGGCGCGTGCTTGTAATCCCAGCTACTCAGGAGGCTGAGGCAGGAGAATTGCCTGAACCCGGGAGGCGGAGGTTGCGGTGAGCCGAGATCGCGCCATTGCACTCCACCCTGGGCAACAAGAGCGAAACTCCGTCTCAAAATAAATAAATAAATAAATAAAAATAATAATCAAAAGTAGGACCTGAAGAAGCAGCTGTTACAAGTAAGATTACTCTAAGTAAACTTCTTTTGAATCATCATTGCATTAAGCATTAAGCCCAGCTCCTGAATGAATTGCTGTTTTCATCACAAAACTACATCTCCTTCAGTCTGTCACAGCCTGCCTTTTTACCCTCATTCCACTAAAGCTCCTTCCAGCAAAATAAACTTCACCACTGCCAAGTTCAACGGGCATTTTTACTTGAACACACTTTACTCTTTCCTTCTGAAATAGCCTCTTTCTTCAGTTTCTCTGACACTTTACTTGTCTGGTTTCCTCCCCAAATTCCTTAGTGGCTTTTTCTCTCCCAAACTCTAAATGTTGATATTCTCCAGGACTCCATTCTGGACCCTCTTCTGTCTATCTCTACCGACAATCACATCTATTCCTGAAACCTTAAATATTATCTTTTTGCTGATAACTCCAAAATATATTCACATATATGTAAATATATAAAAAACAGCACCAACCATTCTTCTGAGATCCAGATTTGCTTATCTAATGCCTACTTGACACTTAGATGTCTCAAAAACATCTTAACATGTTTCCTTTTCCTTTTGTTATTTAATTGACAAATAAAAGCTGTATATATTTATATTGTACAATATGTTTCGAGCTGTATATATACATTGTGGAATGGCTAAATCAAGCTAATTAACATACGTATTACCTCACATACTTATTTCTATTCTTCATTTTTCACTTTGCTTATATAATCATTTGCAAACATGTACACATAAACATATATACATAGCCATATGATTCTATGATTCTTTTTTTTATATCCTACGTCCAATCCATCAACAAATAAGTTGGCTCCAATATGAACATATATCTAGACTCTATTTCCTAGCACCTTGACCACTATTGCTTTGATGTACACCACCATTATGTGTCATCATCCGAGACTATTATAATAGTCTTCTAAGTTATCAATGTCTATGCTCCACAAAACTTCCACAGTGATCCTTTTAAAATCTGAAGTCATTCCACTGCTACAAGTATCTCTGTTTGGTTTTGCAAAGCACAAATATTCAAAAATTAAAAACCAAAGTCCTCTATTATCTGGCTACCTCTCATCTATACCACCTGTAGCCTCAGTCACACTAATCTAACCACATTGGTCTATTTAATCATGCCACACATCCTACTGTGACCTCAGGGTCTTTGAATCTGCTATTTTTACTGCTTGGAATTCTCTCTCCCTCAACCTCAAAAACTCACAAGGCTTGGTCCCTTATCTCCATCAAGTATCACTTTAAATATCCCTCTACAGGGAAGCCTTCTATAACCATCCTATATAAAACAGCACTCCTCCCTAACTCTCTCTCTCTCCTTACCTGCTTTACTTTACCCTTCTACTGTACTATGTATTGTTTTACTGTCCACTGCCCTTATATTGCCCCAAGCTAATAGAGTACCTTATTCTTAACATTCCCTCCGCTACCCTTGCCCTAACCCCTCCAAAATTTCCCAGAGATTTTTAACATTCATTATCCAGAGGAACTAAAAGCCCACCTTCGCCACAAGAAGTGTTAGCATAAACTAGTAAGTTGAAGTTTTTTTGTTTTTTTTTGTTTTTTTTTGTTTTTTTATTGAGGAGGATCACCAAAGAACCAGGATGAAATAAGAGCTACACTTCAAGGAATAAAATTGTATTGCTTACTTTCTGAGTGTTAAGAGTCATGTAAAAGAAGAAAACTTATTCAGAAATGTATAAATTTGAAGTATACAAGTTTAAAACAGAATTTAACAAAAAATCATAAATAAATAAAAAATGCGTGAGCATATGTGTGCCTAAATGTGTACAGAAACATTTTAGGAAACCATACATATTAAAGGAGTTACAATTCATTATATCCAACTACAAAAGCAAATATGTCTCCTCTTCTTGACACTTTAGCCTCTTTGAGAAAATACTCTTTTATACTAGAGTATACATTTCTTACTTAAAATTAAATAATTATCCTTCCTTTTGCTATTATAAGAAGTTACAAAGTGTTTTTGTAAATGTAAATAGAGTAAATTGAGAAAATATCCTCTACTGGCAACATATTACAATTTGTGTATACATATACATGACTAAATGAGTGTGCATATTTTTACCAATTCAACTATCATGTCACATAATTTTATGTGTGCCTGAGTCTGTGTGACTTGCTACTGCCTTTCACTGTCTAATTGACTGATTCACTCATCCAGAATACATTGATTAGTACTGGATAATGTTAATTGCTGTGTCGAATTTACTGCAACCTAGATTATCATCAGCTCAAAGAAAACCCCTTTATTTAAAATGGATCACGAATCACCCCATTTGTTCAGTTGGTTAGTTTTCATGCCCCTGTTGTGTTTTTGTTTTTTTTTTTTTAAGAAAGAGAAAGAATAAAAAAAGAAAGAAAGAAAAAATGAAGGAGAGGAAGAATGAGGAAGAAGGAGAGGGAGAGAGAACCGGGGTGTTACTTTATTGCCCGGGCTAGAATGCAGTCTAAAAATGGGTATGCCTGTAATTGTGTTTAGTAATAGAGACATGGAAAAAAAAATGAGGGAAGAAAATAACTAACAAGCAGCCAACCAATATTTCATTTAAACCTGTAAAAAGGTGTGATGTGGTACTAATAAGAGTGTATATTTTGTATATTTAAAGTGGAGAGTTCTATAAATGTTAATTAAGTCTACTTGTTCCCGATCTGAGTTCAAGTCCTGGATATCGATGTTAACTTTCTGTCTCATTGATCTGTCTGATATTGACGTTGAAGTCTCCTACTATTATTGTGTGGGAATCTAAGTCTCTTTATAAGTCTTATATATCTGGGTATTCCTGTATTGGGTGCGTATATATTTAGGATCTTTAGTTCTTCTTGTTGCATTGATCCTTTTATCATTATGTAATATCCTTCTTTGCTTCTTTTGATCTTTGTTCCTTTAAAGTCTATTTTATCAGGAAAAATTGCAACTCCTGCTTTCTATTTATTTATTATTTTCGCCCTCCATTTGGTTGGTAAATTTTTCTCCATCCCTTTGTTTTGAGTCATTCTGTATCCTTGCATGTGAGATGGGTCTGGATGTAGCATACCAATGGGTCTTGGCTTTTTTTGCCTGTCTGTAACTTTGGATTGGGAGATTTAGTTGAATTAATAATAATATATGTGAGTTTGATATTGCCGTTTTGATATTGTTGTTTTCTTTTTTTTATTTTCGAGATGGAGTTTTGCTCTTGTTGCCCAGGCTGGAGTACAATGTCACGACCTTGGCTCACTGCAACCTCCACTTCCTGGGTTCAAGTGATTCTCCTACCTCAGCCTCCCAAATAGCTGGGATTACAGGCATGTGCCACCATGCCTGGCTAATTTTTGTATTTTTAGTAGAGACAGGGTTTCACCATGTTGGCCAGGCTGGTCTTGAACTCCTGACCTCCCATGATCCACCCGCCTTGGCATCCCAGAGTGCTGGGACTACAGGCATGAACCACCGTGCCCAGCCATAAGTTGAAGTCTTACCTCTTGCAATAACTTTGTCTTCCCTTAAAGTTACTAAACATGACCTACCGTTCCATGACTTGAAGTGTTCAATTACAACTTCTTCTAATTTCTTTAACTTTGGATGACCATAAACAAATTTTTTATCTCCTGGAAAAAAACAAAAATATCAACATTTTTCTCTTTTTTTTTCCATAGTCAATTACAGTAATTTTTCAAATGCATATGTTGGGATTTGTTTAAATTTAAACCAGGATTTACATCTAGGTAGCATATAAATCTTACTGTAAAATGAAATTTGAACTTTTATAAACATTTCATTCTGAGAGAACCCAAACAGGGATCAGCAGTAAAGAAAGCAAAAATATATATTAAACTATAAATCAGGTTTCGATAGTTCTGAGAATTTTCACTACCACTAACAACTACAGTTTGTAAACTTGTTTAAAGAAGTTTAAACACTGTTTAAAGTATATAAACTTTAAACTTGAATATATATATATATATATATAAATCCTAACTTAAAAAATGAAATATATATGCATTTAATAGATCTGTTGCTACAAATAATTGTAGACATTTGTGTTAATGGAGCAAAATTTCAAAATTAACTATGATTAAGCAAAACAACAGAATATATAATTTTAAAAGAAAAACCAGACCTTGTTGGATAGCAGAAATACCATTTGCTGAAGTACTACGTGTATGTGCAAACATGCCTTCTAGATGTTTATAGAGTTTCATGAAGTCTTCATTTCGGCTAAGTTCATTTTTTGACCGTGTCATTCCTTCAGAAATTAAGAAAAAGTTTTCCAAATAAATAATTATAAAACTGATTAAATGTCTTACTTATTAAAACAAAATTAAACTTTAGCAATGAATATGTTTTTCAAGTATAAACATGAAAACCAGCAACTTTTTCCAGTTATACATTCATATATGTATTAATGAATGGTTTCCTTTTTACTAGCAATTCCAAGTTTCTAAAAACAAAGAAACATGGCCATTTTTTAATTATTCCAATGCTTTTTTAAAAAAAAAAATCATTTTTAAGTAATCCAAATTCTTTTTTTTTGAGACAGTCTTGCTTAGTTGACCAGGCTGAAGTGCAGCAGCAGCATGATCTCAACTCAAGGCAACCTCCGCCTCCTGGATTCAAGCGATTCTCCCACCTCAGTCTCCTGAGTAGCTGGGATTACAGGCATGCACCACCACACCCGGCTAATTTTTTTTTTTTTTTTTTTTTTTTGGATATGGAGCTGTTTCGCTCTTGTTGCCCAGGCTAGCATGCAATGGCACGATCTCGGTTTACTGCAACCTCTGCCTCCCAGGTTCAAGCAATTCTCCTTCCTCAGCCTCCCAAGTAGCTGGGACTATGGGCACGCGCAACCATGCCCAGCTACTTTTTGTATTTTTAGTAGACATGAGGTTTCACCATGTTGGCTAGGCTGGTCTTGAACTCCTGACCTAACGTAATCTACCCACCTCGGCTTCCCAAAGTGCTGGGATTACAGGCGTGAGCCACTGTGCCCGGCCCTTCAATATGTCTTTAACCAAAATAATAAATGTCATTATTTCTTTAAATAATTTGATATAATTTACCTTTAGTTCCATCCATAATTCCACAAAGGAAGAAATATAATGATCTCATTCCCATTTGCTGCAATAATTCATAACCATGATATAAACTAATACAAATAGCAAACTCTCCCTCGATTATGCCTTGTTGTATTCCCTAGAAAAACAGCATATGTCAGATTTAACCAGAGAAGTAAATGAACATACATGTTCCATGCCCAAGTTGTCAAGCCATAGGCAGTGTAACATTTATAATATAATCCAAATGATCATAATAATCATTTCCTTCTACACTGCTATAATGCATTGGTTATTAAATGTTGTCTTATAGGATGTTGCTATGGAAAGGTATCAATGTATTTTCTATGTAAAATCTTTCCCTTTTTTTTTCTTTAATTAAACAGGAAACTCACATTTTAAAAAGAGGTAAAGGAGAAAAAACTACAATATACTGCTTCTCTTTACAGGTAAATTAATTGGCAGTACACAGATACATTTGTTCTTTCAAAACTATATAGTAAACATCTACTACATGCGGAGCACTGAACTAGATACAATGGAAATGAAAAGTAAGTTACATATGGCCTGTCCTCATGAATGTTACTGGCAAGAGGACAAATATTTAATTAGACTGTTTTAATGCCAACATTTAATACCAAGTATACATGCCATGATAATATCTGACACTGAACCCCAGAAACTATTCTAAGCACATTATTTGCACAAATTCGCTTAATCTTAGTATCTAGTAGGTAGCTACTGTTGTTATGCCCATTTTACAGATGAGGAAGCTCCTACAGGCATTAAGTAGTAGAACCACCATTTAGACCCAGGAATTTTGGTTAGATCCCTTGTGCTTTCAACCACTACCCTCATGGAAAAATGAGGGACATATTCCTTTATGGAAGTACATGGAATGTGTATCTGCCTGATAAGATTGTTTCCAAGGAGACCAATGTAGAACATATTCTAATTATTTTCCTTTGAGATGAAGACTATCGTTTTCTATCTAACATTTTTAGTAGTATTTAACATCAGTGTTAGTGATTTTAAATATTTCCAGGATATTAATAAATGCCCTAAAATAGTACCCTGATTTCCTCTCACCAGTTCCAGTTAAGATCTAGTTAAACAGGTTTAGATTTACTATTTCCTAGCTGAAATCAAAAAAGTTGTAAATAATAATATACTATAATTTTACAGAAAATACTCCTTCGGTGGTTCCCCAGATACTATATGATAAAGACCACATTTCGTGGAATAATGTGGTCTACTCTCATGTAGTCACAACCTATATTATCATATCTGGTTTCCATATCCTCAGCCAAATTGGTTTGCTCACTGTCTCCCACAGGCTTTCATTCAATTGACTCTGTTCTTTTGCACAGGCATTCCCTATCAGTTCAAAGAATGACTCAGTGCCTTTTTTTGTGTTTGTCAGTGTCTTCTCTGACTTGGGACCTAGTCTGATAGATAATTTCCTATCCATTTATTTTCCAATGAAGGTTGGAAATAAGAATCTTGCTGTGATGCTTTCTTCAAACTGGTATTGACAGCAAGAATAAATGTTCTGTGCCTAAAATTCAGTTACAATCTACCTTCTCATGGCCTTGGGACTTTACAAAATACAAATGGACTAAAAGACAAATTCTTCATTAAAAGTTAAAAAGAAAGGCTGGGCACTGTGGCTCATGTCTGTAATCTTTGGGATTACACTCTGGGAGGCCGAGATGGGCAGATCACCTGAGGCTGAGACCAGCCTGGCCAACATGGTGAAACCCTATCTCTACTAAAAATACAAAAATTAGCCGGGCATGGTGATGCATGCCGGTAGTCCCAGCTACTAGGGCAGTGAAGGCACGAGAGTCGTTTGAAACTGAGAGGCAGAGGTTACAGTGAGCCAAGGTCGTACCACTATACTCCAGCTTGAAAAACAGAGCAGTCACTCCATCTCAAAAAAAAGAAAAAAGAAAAAGTTCAACAATAAAATTTATCTTAATGCAGATCATTAAATTGTATTCTTGCTAGATTTTTTCCATGCTTTTATAAACTATATAAACACTTTTGAATTTTTTTTAACTCTGTCACCTAGCCTAGGCTGGAATGCAATGCTACAATCACAGCTCACTGCAGCCTCCACCACCCAGGCTCAAGCAATCCTCCCCTAGAGAAGTAGGTATATAGCACCATGCTTGGCTAATTTTTTAACATTTGTAGAGACAGGGACTCACTAAGTTGCCCAGGCTGGTCTTAAACTCCTGGGCTCAAATGATCCTCCAACTTCAGCCTCCCAAAGTGTTGGGATTACAGGCATCAGCCACTGTGTTTGGCCTCATTTTTGAACTCTTGATGAGCTAATAGGTACCCAAAAAATCCTTACCTGTGTTTTATCCTGGCTTTGAGTGAAATTTAATCTGTCATCAAAATTTATTTAAAAATACCTACCACAATATTTGGAGATGGGTTTTTCCTAAACTGATCTCTTGCCAGAATTATCTGGTATTTTGTAAGATTTGAGATATCCCTTCTCATCAAAACATTCCTCTGAATCAAAGAATGAGCAAATGCTTCCAAAATCTGCAAATTTAAAAGCAATCCAGTTTAAACTTGCTTTAAAGTTCTTTTTGAAGTACAGTAATTTTCTTATAATAGAAATTATATATTTAATAAAGTCTGTCTTAAAAATGAATATTTAACTAAACTCAGCAATGATAACAGCATTTCAAACTTGACATCTATCCTCAAATAATACCCATATAAAAATCAATATAAGCAATTAGTATATACAACTATAATTTAAGAACACATTTGTTTATCTGTTTATTGCTTAACTCCTCTCTCCCTCATCCTATATGCACCGTAATTTAAGTACTATGAAAGAAGACCTTTAATTTCTTCACTGTTACATCCTCAGTACCTAGAATAGTTTGGCACTTAGGTCCTCAGTAAATATTTGTAATTTGTAAAGTACTGAATAAATTGAAATGTCTTGAGTATATTTAATTTTACTCACTGATTCATTTTTTTCAACAAATATTTATTAAGCATCTACTATGTAGCAAGCCCTGTTCTAAATGCCGGGGATAGTGTGGCTAAGACAAATAAAGTCACTGCTCTCAAATAGTTTAGATTCTAGTGAAGAGAAGCAAAGAATAAAGTGAGCAGAGAAAAAGTAGATCATTTTGATTATGATAAATGCATTTAAGAATCTAAAACACAACAATGCTGTAGAGTCTTTGAGAGGAAAGGGATCACTATTTAAAAAGGTAAACAAAGACTTTCTCTTTGAGGAGGGAACATCTGAGTTCACATGTGAATGATGAGGTATGTCTACCATGTTAGGTTCTAAGGACAAAGGACTCTAGAGAGAAGAGACAGCAATCAAAAAGATCCTGGGGCAGAAATGAGCTTAAAGACACAAAAAGAGACCTGCAGATGAAGACTTACTACAGCAATATGTAATTGTTTAAATGTTTGCCTCATTTGTATTTTCTAAACTATGGCTAGTTTAGTACATTTCTTCCCTCCCTTCCAGCTTTGCTGATCATACGGCCTAATAAGGCACTCTAAAAATACCAACAAAATTAAATTATATTTGCATATGATTTTAAGAATTATCATTTTTACATTGTTATAAATGGAATGATTTTCAATTAAAAATGCATTAGTATCAAAGGGATGATTACAAAAAAGACTTTGCCGTATCTTAATAATGCTTAGAATTTTGTTACAAATAATTTAAAAATAGAAAACAAGCTTTATTCCTAGAAAACGTCTCTTTAAGAAAGGCTTATTATAGATTAAGTGATAGATAACTTTTTGGTTATCTATTCCTGTAACCATCTTTAATCCATGGCAATGAAAATGTGAAAACATGTCGTTTTACCATGACACTAATTATGAACTGTAGAAAAACAATGTGTTATCTTGCATTTCTCCCACTGAAAACGACAATCATCTAAGCAGGTCCTTAACAGTGATAATACAGACATTTGGCCAGATCATTCTTTGTTGTGGGGCTGCTGTCCTATCCACTATAGTATGTTTAGCAGCTCCCTGGCCTCCATATATAGATGCCAATAATAACTCCACATTTCACCTCTTGCCTCCCCTTCTCTCCTGCCTTTTTGTTGTTGTTGTTGTTGTAAGAACCAAAAATGTGTCAAGTTATTGCCAAATGTTGTCAGGTGGGTGAAATAATTTCCAGTTGAAAACCACTGGTGTATAAAGGATCAGGGAGGAAAACAGTGAAAATTTATTTCATTACAAAGAAACTTCTGGGGGCCAGGTGCATGGTGGCTCATGCCTGTAATCCCAGAACTTTGGGAGGTCGAGGCAAGAGAATCACTTGAGGTCAGGAGTTCAAGACCAGCTTGGCCAACATGGTGAAACCTCGCCTCTATTAAAAAATACACAAATTAGCCAGATGTGGTAGCATGCACGTGTAATCCCAGCTACTTGGGAGGCTGAGAAGAATCGCTTGAACTGGGGAGGTAGAGACTGCAGTGAGCCGAACAAAAAACAAAAAAAAAGAAAACAAAGAAAATTCTGGCTTAATCTTGGTATGTGTTCACGTTACAGGCATGAGCTATACACTTATGCTTTGTCTACTTTGGGGGGTGTGTGTGTGTGTGTGTGTGTGTGTGTGTTCTATATTACAGTTAAAAGGTTTACTTAACACGGCACACACACACACACAAAAATATACAAAACCATGTAAGGCTATTATTTGCTTTACAAATGGTCCATCTTTTGTAGTTTCCCTTTAAATAATACTTTGCTAGTACACATAAAACACGGTGCTTATTCCAAAAATTTTAACTTCAAAGAATTTTTTTCAATATATCAATTATATAAAAATAAGATAGTTATATCACATCCAAATCCTGTTAGCTAAAGTAATTAAATTACCAGTTCATTTATGAAATCCCTGAATGTCATAAAAATGGCTTACCTGGATATAGGTCTTTTGGATGGCTGCAAGTTCTTCACCAAGGGGAACAATAAGCTTTTCAACTTTTCGCTCATGAGAATATGCCAATATATCTGGAGAATCTTCAGAACGAAGCTCTATCTGCCCAATTAGCAGGTTAGTAATAACTTGTTGCACAGCCTATGCAAAATCAATTAAGTATGATTACAAATTACATGTTAAAATTTTTTAGTTTGTCATTAACAGAATAAAATAGCAGTAAAATTTTGAAAGAAGCTTCAGAAATTCATATTATTAATACCAAAAAATGAAAGAAGGCAAGCCCATTAAAAAAGTACATCAGAAGTGACACAATAGGTCAAAAATACTTCTGAAACATCTTTTCCCCACACAGACCTTCAAGCTAAGCATTCCAAAAATAAGAATATTTGCAAATTTTCAAAAAGTTCCTCAAATGTAGTTTGGTACTTTCCAAATAGAATCTTTATACAGACTCAAACAAAAAAGTTTCAGATTAGCAATACTAAATCAATTATTGATAAATTAGAATATTTTCCATTTAAATCAACATATATGGCCGGGCGCGGTGGCTCAAGCCTGTAATCCCAGCATTTTGGGAGGCCGAGGCGGGTGGATCACGAGGTCAAGAGATTGAGACCATCCTGGTCAACATGGTGAAACCCTGTCTCTACTA